AAGATAGACCCACACGAGGGAGGGGCCTCTTTCCTGACAGTCTTGGTGCAGAGGAAGGGGGGAGGGTGCTGCAGAGTGGGGTGGACTCCACATGAGGGATAGGGGGCCCCTACTCCCACTTGGAGGCTTCCCCCCCACCCCCACCCCCCTGCCCTGCCTCTTGGAACCCAGGCGGGAGACGAGGTGTTGGAGGGGGAGGTCAGTGTCTTGTGACATAGACATCAGACCAGCCTGGGATTCCCAGTCCCACGCAGTGACCACGGGGTCCCCATGACGGCTGGGCAGGTCTGGGGCCTCAGAGAACAGGGCAAACTTTACCCCAGCAGGTCCTCCGCAGGCTCTGAATACCCTCTTCTTTCGTGATCCACCCCCTCCCGCTCCTCCATCTCTCCCTTCCTCTCCCTCCCTCCCTCCCTCCCTCCCCTCCTGACCATCCTCCTCCCCTCCCTCCCTTCCCCTCCCTGCAGGCTGGAGGCGCGCGTCCAGGAGGGCTGCGCCAAGCCCAGAGCCTGGAATAGCGGCTGGGCGGGCGGGACGAGCGGCCAGCGCGGAGCCGGGGCTGGAAGTTGGGCGCTCGGCCTCGGAGCAGGGGCGCGGTGGCGCCGGGAGCCGCCCGCGTCCCCAGTCGCTGCCCGGCGCGTCATGGGTCTCCGGCGGCCCGGGACGCCGCGGCCGCTGCCGCCGCTGCTGCTGCTACTGCTCGGGGCCAGCCTCCTGCCGGGTAAGTTCCGGGGCTGCCGCAGGCCCCCCTTTGTCCCAGTGCAGGCGGCCAGGTCCCTGGAGCCGGAGCAGGGACGCTCCTGCTTGCGGTCTCAAGCCGCGGGCGCGCGAGCCTCCCCTTCGGAGAGAGACGCACCTCCCGGGATGTCCTGCAGTGGCCGGGCTAACCGGCGAGGAAGGAGTTAATCCTGATGTGGACACGGGGGCGGGGGGGGGCGGGGTTGGGCGGGACTTGGGTGCGTGCTAGAGGGGCTTTGGCTGTAAAACTTGGCAGAGGTGGGAGCCCTTTCACCACCACCCCCTGCACAGCCAGCCAGTTGGCCCTGCAGATGTCTCCATACCTGTTAGAAGGTGGGGTGGGGGGTTATTGCTTTCCCTGGTGCCTGATCCCCACTTCTGCTGGGCTCAGCTCCTCCAGGCTCCTGGGGTATCAGCCCCTCCATGGGGGAGGGGGCGCTTTCACCCCCTCATCACCAGTCACTGGGACGACTTGGAATAGCAGGTTAGGGGCACTGTGACCATGGGCTGAGGGGTCCAGCATGCCCCTGGCACTGAGGATCCTCTCATGGAGCAGGCTGGGGGCTCTCTCTTCTCTCCTCCTGGGAGGGGTGGCTTCCCTGAGGGAGTCGGGAGGATGGGGGTGGGGGATGGTGGTGTTGGGCCAGCGTGGACAAGGACCTTGTGGTGGGAGGACAGAGGCTGCTGAGCAACCCCCCTCCCCCCAGGGAGCAGCCACGTGGAGACCCGGGCCCACGCTGAGGGACGGCTGCTCAGGAAGCTCTTCACAGGCTACAACAAGTGGTCCCGGCCGGTGGCCAACATCTCTGACGTGGTTCTGGTCCGCTTTGGCCTGTCCATCGCCCAACTCATCGATGTGGTAGGTGCCAGGGTGCTGCTGGCCTTGGCCCATGGGCATGGTGGCCCTGGGAAGTGGCTACAGGAGCCTGGCAGGGTGCCACCTTGGCAGGGAGGCTGATGCCACCTGGCTCTGTAGCTGCAGGCTCTGGTATGCCTGAGCCCTGGCGTGGCTGAGTCCCAGCCTCCACTGGCTCAGACAGCAGGAAGCTCCTTGGGACCGGCCTGTTGTCCGCTGCAGCGGGCCCTCCACGTAGACGCACAAGCCCGGGAGTTGGGGTGGGGTGGGGCGGACACTGTTCACCTTTGGAAACCGGGAACCAACCAGGCCGGAAGTGGCAGCCCCATGGGGAGAGCAGTCAGGTGCCCAGCTGGGGCTTCTGTGAATGTTGTGCTGACCGACCCCACACCCCCTGCCCCATGGCAGGCCCTCAGCCTGAGATGTCACCTCCAGCCCTGCATGGCACCCTGCCTGGCTCTGGGTTGGGCTAGGTGGGTGCCTTCCTGGTTAGGGAGTGAGGAGGTCACTGGGAGGACATCACCACCACTGGGCAGTCTGAGGAGCAGGTGCGGATCCCTGCCCAGCTCTGAGGACCTGTGGGGAAGGGAAGGGGAGTCTGGCTCTGAGACCCTGGAGGAGGGGAGTTTGGCTCTGAGAAGCCGGTGGAAGGGGGAGCCTGGGTCTGAGAAGCAAGTGGGGAGCTCGGCTCTGAGAAGTTGGGGGAGGGCGTGGGGTGGTGGGGCGTTGGCCTGGCTCTGAGAAGCAAGGGACACCAGGGTTTGTGCCTCTGGGCCTGAGTGGAACCACACCTGAGTCTCAGCTGGAGCTGTGGCTGGACCATCCTGGGTCTGAAGTCCAGGGGGCCAGCCAGAGGCACAGGGCACTGTCCCACTTCTCCTGGATGGTGGGATGTGTGCACGTGTGCCCTGCATGTGTGCAAGGGCACGGCATGAGCCACTAAACAGGACAGCACCAGGTGTGACCATTTAGGGTGGGTCTGAGGTTTCGGTAGCACCCCAAGGCCCTGGCCTTGGAG